AATTTGCCCAAGAGAGTCTTATTTTTAATAGAGAGGACATTCCTTCTTTATACGCCTTGATTCGCTGGTTGCTCAACGAGCTAACAGCGGCGACTCAGAGCCGTCAATCATCTGTCGGATGCGGCATGCAAATCACAGCTAGAGACTTACCCAGTCGCGAAATCTACGCTTGACGTCCAGGTTCACCCATGTGAGTTTATTTGTATGTATTAAAACAAATTACACAGTGGTTTCAATTTGATCGCGGCGAACTAGGCTCTGCTGTGATCGGTCATTAACCCAACTTCCGGATCGCCTTCTATTCGACATGGCTAAGGCGTCCTTGCTGTCTGACCTCGCCTTGATAAATCGCATTTCTGCATATACCGCTGACTGAACATTCTCAAACAGTGAGAAGGCGCATTGCAGGCTAAAGTGGCATTTGAACGGTCCTTTCGCAAACGAGTAAATTCCCATGCCAAGGGTCGCCGCTGTGATCAAAGTACGTAGAAAAAGGCGAATGAAATCAGAGCAAGGGGGTGCAGGGTGTGATGCATCACTCTTCCGGATGATGATTTGATAGAGCAGAATAGCCGCAAATGACCCGTGAATGATGGCTGGAAAGGCCCATACCGCGCCGGAACGCCACTGCCAGATGCCAAAGACAAGCCACAGCACTTGGAGAGATAGGATGCAAGCACCAGCGAGCTTTCTCTTGGGAACTTGATCTGAAACCGCGAAGAGTTTGATTATCTGCAATCGTAAGTTGGAAGAAATCGTGAGTAGGAATGAAACATACTTCAGAAAGAGCGAAGCATATGGCCACAGTGACTTTCCATAGTATCCCAGGAGCAGTGTCTGGTAAGTCACTGCTGTGTGCAATGCCAATCCACGATGGGCACACAATATTGCCAACAAGGAAAGGAATGGCGGGTATGTTAGCCGAAATGAATGCCCTCTGGTGGTACCACTGTGCAGCACTGACAGGGCCAGCTTTGAAGTGACGCCAGCTTTGGACAAGAGTGGTAGTATAGAAGAGGATGCCAAAAGCGCCAAAAACTGCATTCTCGACGACATCTCCTCTCGTTTCGAAGGAATGCATGCTAAAGGGCGGTGAGCCTTGATCGGAAAGCTACGTTCGATCCATGGCTTTTGTACATTTCAGAGCGGATATGACGAAGCATGCTGTTTAACGTGGCTAGCTTCGCACTACATGGCCAAGGCAAAAGAGACGCAGATAGCCTGCGGCCTCCCTAATAGCTATAATCTATAGCTGCCTATTCGTTACTTTTACAGTGTGGTCTTATGTTGCATACTATCGCGACTTGTCTTACATCATTCCTTACCGATTCTGGCAGTAATCGCTTCCTGCCTTACTACACTGAGGCCCGTAGGGCCCAACAGGGTTCGCAGTTCTAGAACTCTCAGGGCAATAGGCGCATGGCGTGTCCGGCCCCGAGAAGCAGCTTTACTGGCTTTGCATTTTGACACTGATGAGATCGTGTGCAGATCACAAGCGGGATCAAAGTTCGCTCGCCACAGAGCATGCTATTCTTATCCTGGCACGTGCGGGGTAGGACACCGTTTTGTAGTTATTCCTTCACTACTCGGATATCACGGATAGTTTATGTAAAAGTGGTTCGAAGTTTTCCCTTTTACGTCTTTCTAGCCCCGCGTCCCGTTCAAAGCCGGAAGCTTGGATGGTGGGCTCATAAGACAGCGGGCAGCACGAGGGTGGATCGCAGCCTGTGTTTGACATAAGATGCTCAGCCTCCAATCCTGGTCCTCTTCAAAAATGAAGTGGTGTGCGACTGAGACAACTCGAATTTTCGACTTCTTACCTATTTGAGTTAGTGTGCCTAACCGCACGTGATTTCAGTTCAATGTCGTGATCATTGACTACGCCCGCGTTTACTTTTTCCATAGTTGATTGTTCAACATCTCACATCATACATAGCAATGCTATTACTTACCAACCCTACTACAAACTCACAGCAGCTCGGTGACATCGAGAACATCTGGCCCAGTTTTACCGATACTACTAAGAGAAACCTTTTTCGTCGGATATACAGACTTGATCCACAGCTTTTCGAGTCAATCGCCCAAGAGTCAGCAGATGAACTACGATGTCAGCAATCGAGTATCATCCATGGCCCTTCCAACCAGTATCTTGCACGTCAACCAGAAAGTCAGGACGCGAGTTTCGCATTGACCGAGAGGAGATTGGCAGGTCTGCCACCGTGTCGTTCAGAGGCTCATACCGACGTCGCATGTGCTAGCCCAGCACATGCCCAAGAAGAATCACAAACCTCCAGCACAACATCGCCCACAGCACAGTTCTCCACCACAGCGCCGCCTGCAGCACAATCCCCCGGCAAAGCAACGAGAAGGGCATCCCGCAGTCCCCAAGGCTATTTTCCTTCTCTCCCAGCTGCCGTATGGAAGGAGCTAGAGGAACAGTCTCCCGAAGTGTATCTCATGAGAGACAACGAAACTCTACATTCAGACATTATTCAGGCTTTGTATAAGAACGAAGATGACATGTGGAAGGTCTTAATTCGACGCAGGTTTCAAAGCATTGGCATCTATTATGCGATCTTCAATTTGCTTCACTCAACAAAATCTCAGTATCCAGGCCAGATTATGCCGCAGATAGCAGAGAGAACTACACTTAGGCTCGATACCCTAAGAAGATATGAGCATGCGGGTGAAAGGTATCAAAAGCTGTCAGATGATCTCTCGTTAGGCGCTATGGTACTCTTAAGCCCATATTGCACGAGTTTGTAAGTAGCGAGCCCCTGTGTATAAAGTCCTACTAAATCGCATAGCTGGGAACAGCGTCTTTCTCTCGTCGCGTCAACTCGGGTTAAATCGATCTCAAACTTGCGCGAGCAACTCGCCGAGATCGATTCAAATGTGCTAAAGAGAGCAGAGGGCGTTGCCCTCCGTTTTGCTCAATGTTCCAAGAAGGTATGGGCAGAACGATTCTCAGGTCTCGATATAGTTCCAAAAAAACTTCAACGAAAACGCAAACGTAACGGAAACGGCGATACAAGCAACAATCCGACTCACAGCCGTCACCTGAAAATTGCCACACTGAATGGCCTGTCATGTCCTGCGA